ATTTATTATAGTGAAAAACGGTTTTTATACCTGCTCTACGAAACTCTCATTTTTATGTGATAGTTTATATTTTTTGGCAATATCTGAAAATTGTTTGTTTTAATGTCCATTTTGGGAAAATACATTAACAAGAATCTCAAATTCATTCTGAATATTTTATTCTGAACATATTTTAAATGCTCTTGAAAAAAAATCTTTAAAAATACTTATTGCTATATTAGGTGAAATCGAAGAATGTTGTTTAATAATACATTAGTGATTGCTTGCTTACGATATATTGAAAATTCGTATTTATGAAGAAATAGATTGGTAGAAATACAAACGTCTAGAAAATTTAGTTGACTTTGAGAATTATGGTATTCATTAGTATACTGAATGGCTGTATCTTGTGAATTTAAAATATTTAAAAAAGAATTTGCATCGTTAATATTAGAAAATCGAGCGTGAATATCATCAATGTACCTTCTTTTTCTTCATCAATGTAAGTTATTGGTGCAGTATTGAAGCTTAAAGCTTGTTGGAAAGCATTAAATTTGTAGATAAGCTTCCGACATTATAACCATAATGGACAAACTAATCGGACCAGAATTTTTCAATATGTATTTTGTCGTCCTATAAAAAAGTAACATTTACTTACACAAAGTTCAATAAGCTTGTGAATACCTACGACAATTTCTATGACAATTTAGTTTGCATCTTAAGATTATCTTTTTCTTTTTTAGAATATCAATTATAGCAATTGTTGCTTTATCTAGTGGAATCGATGGATACAAATTAATAATATCAAACGAAACTTGAATTTCATTTTTTTCGATAAACCATTCTTTAGCCTCAGATACGAATGAAAAAGAATTTTTAACCCTAAATTCGTTTTTTTTAAGTGCAGGATGTATTTTTTCAACAAGATATTGCGAAAGTTTATGAGCTGGTGTTCCAGTAGTTGAAACTATAGTTCGCATAGGGTAACCTTTATCACTTTTATGTGCTTTAATGCATCTATATAATCTAGGTGGAACAGTGTCAGAAGGATATATTTCATCATAAGTTTTTTTATTAAATTATTTTGCTTTTTTTAGTTTACTGAGAGTTCATTTAATTAAACAAAGAAAATTTTGTGTAGGATCAACAGCAGAAATAGTGTAGTTACCAAGTTGTTCTTTAATTTTTTTTATTGCTGATTCTGAATCTAAAACAGCAAATCCACATCCTTTATCAAAAGGGTATATCTTTATTTCGATATCTTTATTTCTTTTGAGTTTTTTAGCTCATTTAAAGCTAGATGATAATTTTTAGAAAGATTACTTGCTATTTTTACATTTAAAAACATGTTTAATGTTTTTCTTACATTTTGTCACAAATATTCAGCTTTTTCAACATTAACATTTTTTTCCAATTTTAAGCAAGCAAGCAAATAGACCTTTAGAAAAATTGTCATACTACCGTGGATATCGAAATTAAGCATTATACTTAAGTTAGTTTCGTAGAATAGGTTTACTTATGTAACATATAATTAAATTTTTTACCAGTAAAAAATTTAATTATATGTGTATAAATCATTTCCAATTTTTTTCTATTTCTAAATTTTTTCCCCAGCTCCTTTTTAATCATACTCTTAGTCAAGTTTTTTCTAGACTTTTTAACTAAAAAAAATACAAGGTGATCTATATATCTAGTAGCTGAAATAATGAAAGTGATCTTCATCTCTAGTAGCTGAAATAAAATCTTTAATGAGCTTAATGTTTCTTGCTGCACCATCATTTACAACAGATATGTTTTCGATCAATGCAATAAAATCTAGCAACTGAGGATAGTTAAAAACATCTTTAGTATTAAGACTATCATATATTAAATATATATATTAATATATATTAATATATATTAAACTAAATACATGATATTATTACATGAATTTAAAATTATAGGCTAATATTTTTAATATATTTGATAACATTCAAAAATTTAGCTCCATAATTCTCAATAATAACTCAAATAATTAATAACAAATAAACTCAATATTTAAAAAATATATTTATAATAAAAAAAATATTTTTTTAAGATTTTTTTAAACTACATTAAATTTACTCTAAAATTTGTAACATTTGATTTCCTTTTTATTGAACAAGAAGAATATACTTTTTGCATACTACAAAAACACTTATATAAAAAAAATATATATCATTTTTTCACATACTCTGTCAACTAAAATTTTTTTAATTTGCATAACTAAATTAAGTATATATTGATATATATATATATATATATATATATATATATATATATATATATATATATATATATATATATATATATATATACAGCTAATTAAAAAATAAAAATATATTTACCAGTAAAAAAAAAACCGTTTTTCGTTTTAATATAATACTTAATATTTTATGTCTTTACTTAATATTTTATGTCACAATAAATCAAAATTGCATCCAAATAGTTATCCTGGTGTTTATCAGTTAGATTGTTCATGTGGTACAAGTTATGTTAGCAAAACTAGAAAAAAAAATTTCACATGTGTTAATGAACACAAAAAAAAACATAGCTAAAGGTAACTGAGACAAAAATTATTTCTATTACTCCTAATAACTATACGTGTAAGATTTGAGAAGCAATTGAAATACAGTGCTCTAAATCTCAGGAGAATATCTTAAATCGCGACAATGGTAACTTAGTGATGACATGCCATTGGAGAGCACTTTTTGTTAAACTTAACAAGTCTGAATCTGCAACGTTGCAATGACATCATTTTTGTTTTGAGTTTTTATAAATTTTGTATAATGATTTTTTCAGTTTGATAATTGCTTATACTATATAAGCCAAAATATCACCATTTAATAATAAAAATGATATATAACCGAAAAGGATATTTTTAATCAACTAAATGTGTATATATATATATATATATATATATATATATATACATATATATATATATATATTTATATGTGTGTGTGAATTATATATATATATATATATATATATATATATATATATATATATATATATATATATATATATATATATATATATCAGGCCTGAGCGGAAAGTGAGAGCTTTAGCTCTCGCTCTCACCCACACTCACCTAAAACTGTTTACGGGAGCAATTTATGGCTCTTTTTCTCTCAAAAATTATACTTTTGCAAGTATAATTTTTCTCATAAAAGTATAATTATTGTTGTAACTAAAATATAAACCAAAATGTCATTAAAAAAAAATTAATTGCATAATATACTGCAAATACTTTTTAAAAGACATCGTTGATGCAAAGAAAATTAAAATTACAAAAGAGTGGTAATTTAAATGAGGAGCAGCTTGCACAGCTCCCCAAATTGTTTTAGAAAGCTTTTCTCAGCTATATTTTCTATATATATATATATATATATATATATATATATATATATATATATATATATATATATATATATATATATATATATATATATATATATATATAGAGAGAGAGAGAGAGAGAGAGAGAGAGAGAGAGAGAGAGAGAGAGAGAGAGAGAGAGAGAGAGAGAGAGAGAGATAGATATTAATATAAATGGTATTAAATGGTATTTAAAGTTTACTGAAAGCCGTTCTGTTTTTTTTTAAGTAATAAAAATAAAAAAAGAAATAAGCAACAAAAGCCAGAATAAATTAGTACCATGTATATCTAAAAATGCAGTTTTAAAAACTATATATTCTAACTATAAGTGTATTTAATACATTTACTATAGAGACTGCATTTTTGTGGTTTTGATAACATGAATTATTTAAATCAGAAAAACATGATGATAACTGAGAACTCCAAAGAGCAAGGAAAAAAACTTCAACTCAAAACCTTTATTCAAAATAGTTGCAAACTTGCTTGCATTTGTAAAAATAAAAACAATGTTTTGTAAAAAAAATATGGCTATATATAGTAATCCATAAAAAAGCAGGTAAGAAAAAACAGAAATAGTATATAATTGTATATTTCATTTCACAAAGAGATTAGAATTATATTGATCTAATATTTAATATGTAATATGTTATAGTGATTTTGTAAAGGAAAAGATTCAGAATCAGGACTTTTTTTAAAGATTATATAAATTTAAAGAAAGTCTTTTGTCTCACCCAGGTTCACCCGATCAGATCATGATTAGATCAATTTATGATCTCAGTAAAATATTTATCTCTACTGCATCAGATTCACCCATTCAGATTATGATCAGATCATGTTATGATCTTATCAAAACATTTATTTATTCTACATCAGATTCACCCAATCATTGCGCTTTTTACTATTATCTTACTATTATTCTTTTTGTGATTTTCTTTATGATTTACAGGCATAAAGAATTAGTTCTTGGGCTAATATTTTATGTCACTCTCTTGAAAATTATTCCTTTATTATAATCTCCTGAACTCAGGCAGTTATGAAAGCTTTTAACTCGTCTTGTTGGTTTGAAGTCAAGCCTCTATCCCCTGGTTTTCTCCTCCTTTTGCAGCTGCTATTTCTAATATTAGTTCTATTTTTTTCATAAAACAATTCTCTCAAGAACAAATGTGTTTTTTGTTTTAGAGATTTTGTTTTAGCGTTGTTCTAGTAGAAAAAATGAAAGGAATAATTACAATTAGAAATAGAAGCTCCAAATAGAGAAGCTAACCATAGGGTAGAGTGAGGCGTAAAACTAATTGTGGTGGTCATTATGTGGTGGGCAAATCTATTGTAAAGGATATACTAAACACACATATACTATAACAGTATTATTATAGAGTATAGAGTGTAACAGTATTATTATAGAGTGTAGATATGTGTTTAGTATATCCTTTACAATAGATTTGCCCACTACATAATGACCCACCATATAACTAATTGTGGTACTTGTTGCTTACAAATCAAGCGCTTCACCACTACCGCGCTAAAACGTTAGAAAAACAATGAAATTTTGTTTAAATATTTTAAGTTGAAGGTAAATGTTTCCAACATGTTTATATACTTTCAGTATCCCTGGATAATTTCAGTTCTCCTGGGTATTCATTAAAAGGATTATGGGAAGTCATTCAAAAGAACATATTGAGTAGATCTTTACTGATACTTGATGATATTACATCATTGGTAAATATTGGCGTTAGTGCTCAAGTTGTTGCAGATTTATTGCATTATTGTAAAGTTGCGACACATAAACAGGTATTTTATTCAGTGTTAAAACTTAACAGTTTAACAGTTTAATTTTTGCCCTTACTAATTCTTAATTTTTTGTTTTCTAAATATTTTTTTTAAGTGCGTATCTTTTGTTATATTGGGTCATTGTAATGAAGATGACGTTGTGTATTCACGTGTTCAAGCCTTCATGAAAAGTTATTCAACACTTGCTGTTCATGTTAGTTCTTTAAAAACTGGATACAGCAGTGATGTGTCTGGAGAGGTAAGTTACATATTTTTTAAATCATTTTGTAAACCTGCTAACGAAATATTTAAAAAAGTGTAATGGACGTTCTCGTTAGTAGAAACAGGAGCAAAATCATATTTTGTTTGCTTTATTAGTAACATTATTTTTTATTAGTAACATTATTTTTTATTAGTAACATTATTTATTATTAGTAACATTATTTATTATTAGTAACATTATTTTTTATTAGTAACATTATTTAATGCCTAATTAATCTCTACAAGTATCAACTTATCAATTGTAAATAGTTTTGTGTGTGTATATATATATATATATATATATATATATATATATATATATATATATATATATATATATATATATATATATATATATATATATATATATATATATATATATATATGTGTGTGTCTGTGTGTGTGTGTTTATATTATTTTAAAGATATATAGTTTTTTATTTTGTGACTTCATTTTACTAAATAGTTTTACTAAATATTTTGATATCAAAATTCAGCAATTATTTATTTCTTTAGATCGTTATTTATAAAAAAAAAAAAACCAACAGAATGCATTTTAAATTAGCAGACAAAGATGTTAAACTATTTCCTGTCGGCACTTGTCCAGCTGTTTTGTAGTCTTCAAAATGTTTCCATTACGTATAAAAACGATACCAAAACAACTAATGTGCTCAGATTTTTGCAACTGTTGCACTGAACTTGTTCGCAACGTTTTTACTGAAGTCGTTGTGTTGGAATGATTGAAAAAAACTAGTTGATGTTATTAAAACATGATTTTTCGATATTTAAAAATTGGAAAATAATGTAGAGAGTTATTAAATTAAAATAAAAAAGTGCATATTTAATTAACAATAAAATAAAAATGTGTATATAGATGAATGTTTAAAGTAAGTACAACCTTTTTATTGTAAGGGTGCAGTATTTTATTCTGACGTCAACAGGAGGTCCACAAGTATAAATTTCAGAAAAACTCAGTTATTTAAACTTAAAGCTCTTATTTAAATTTAAACAAGCTGTTACAAAAATTTATTCAATGTGAAAGTCGGTATTGTTTGAATTTTTTTTTTTTAACTTTCTATGTCTGTATTTATATTGAACAAAGAAATTCTAATAGTGGAGGCTTTAAGGATAAAAAAAGTTCAAATTGTGATACCAGCATGAAACTAGGCGAAATAGTTGGTAATAATTATACAAAATGATTAAGAAAAAGACCCCAATTTTAGATATCTTAATTTTTGAGCTATTGGTTCTTTAATTTTTAGGGAAAAAAACTTCAATAAGTTTTAATAGTTCTAATAGAAACTTAGAACCAGCTTAGAACTTTCATGAAATTGTCATTGAACTAAAAGAATTTACAAAAAAAAAAACAACCCCGTTCTAAAAATATTTTTTTGACCCAAAGTTGACGGTAAAAAACTATACAATCTTCAAAACTGACGATATAAGGTTGAGTAAAAGCTAAATTTAAAGGAGAATCTATTTCAAGTAAACAACTATATCATATTATATAGTGGAATAATTCTAAAGATATAAAACAAGGTATAAAAAGAGGTGGATAACAGAATAAATTTTAAATTTATCCTGAACCTTGAGGGACACCGCTTAAGACTTCTCTCCACTCGGATGTATGCTGACCCAAAACCACTCTTTGTCTTCTATTAGATAAGAAACTGCAAAACCATTTATCCAACTTTTTTGAAAAGCCATAATTTTTTATCTTGTGCATTAATTTTAGGTGTGATACTTTATCAAAGGCTTTTGCTAAGTCAAAATATACAACATCTACTGAAGCCTTATTGTTTAGATGGTTCGTTATTTTATCAAGTAAGTTAATTATACATGATTTAGAAGGTACGAAACCATGTTGATTTTAATTTATTAGATTGTTTTGTTGTAGATAATATATTACTTTATCTCGAATTATTCTTTCAAATGTTCTACAAACAACTGACGTAATAGATATTGGCCGATAATTTGATGGATCTAATTTAATACGTCCTTTAAAAATCGGTGTTACATTTGCTAGTTCCCATTCTTTAGGAACTATTGCATCATTGTACCATTTTGAAAAAATTAAAGATAGTGGACATGACAGAGCTACGTTGCATTTCTTTAAGATAAATGCATGAATTTTATCAGGTCCAATCGATTTATTTTCGTTTAACTTTTCTTAGTGTTTTGCTATTATTATAGTCTTCAAATATATAGAAGTCTTCATTATTTAGGTCGCACGTTATAGATGATCTTAGTTTATAATATGGTAATACAACAGGTATTTTTTCTTTGATGAACACAGAATGAAAATGTAAACCCAGAATATTTGATATTTTACTTTCGTCTTTATGCAGTTGTCCATTCTGATCTCTTGATAATTTAATTTCTTGTTTGGCTGATTTATTTTTATTAACATAAGAATAGAATAGTTAAGGATTTGTTTTTGATTTTTTGCTATATTAGATTCATATTCATAAACTGCTGTATCAATTAGTTCTATACACTTTTTACATTGAATTATAAATAGTTTTTTTAAAAAGTTTGATTTATTTCATGATATTTGAACCACAGTCTTTTTTTCAAATCATGATATTTGAACCACAGTCTTTTTTTAAAATTAATTTCTTTCTTTAATTCTTTATTTAATCATAATGGACCAATCTTTAACTGAACAATAATTGATGGCACAAGTTTTGAAACTGACTCATTATTGATTTTTTTAAACAGATTATAACATTCATTAGAATTTTTATTTAGAAATAATGTCTGCCAATCAACTTTATTATAAAACTGTGACAATTTTGCGAAATTTGATTTTCTGTATAAAATTTTTCTATTAGCAACATTGAGATGGATAGTGTTATTCACTATAAGTTCATATGTTAATATATTATGGCCCTTATTTGAATCGCCCAGTAAAGGCTCATGTTTTAATTCAAGGATTTTATTGTTTTTATCAGTGATAATTAAGTCTAAAATGAATTCTTTATTTTCGTTTATTTGAACAGTTGGTTTATAAACCATTTGAAAAAGAAAACAACTATTTAACTTTGTAATAAAACTGTTTTTCCGACAAATATTCACTAAAACCATATTTGCTCTATTTTATTTTAGGAAAAACAGACTTAATTTATTTTTGGGTATTGTCTTATATACTAAATCCCTTCCAGTTGTTAAACAATTCTCAATAAAACATCTGGATAATTCAACACCCATTTGCTTAGCTTTTTTTACGGATTCCCTTGCTTCTGCATCAAGTAATATCTTCGCTGATAAATTTATGAGAATGTCTTCTAATAAAAACGAATTTCCTAAATCTTTAATAACTTCAATAAATTCCGATACATGTTCATTATAATTCTTTTCAAACGCAGGCATATCTTCGTGATGATTTTTCCTATCATCATCTTCTTCTCCAAAACTTTCTAGAAACTCAGCAAGTAGTGGTTCACACGTCATTCACTTGGGTTATCTAAAACGCCAATTGAGCCGTTTCTTTTTATAATCTTAATGTTTTGTTCATGGGCTTTTTTTGTTCATGGGCTTTTTTTTCTTTTTATAATCTTAATGTTTTGTTCATGGGCTGTTCATGGATGTGTAGCCATAGATAAAAAAAGGGTGTCTTGTCTTTTGAAACGCAAAGAAACCTTTGCAGAACTCAGTTCCAAAGCACTGACAAGCATATTGAAATTTCCCATTCTAAAGCTCTTAACAAGTAACAAGACTATTGCTTGTAGCTCCATAGCAGTAAACTAATAATTAAATTGCGTGTATGCTGAACATGGGCTGCATACCTTGAGCGCTTTACTTTTCGACCAGTTAGCATAGATTCGGCTTGACCAGAAGTTATTATACCGGCTTTAGTTATGGCATCACACCATCCACTGCCTTCTAACTAATCTCCAACCAAAGATAATGAAGCCATTTCTATGTGTAACCCACCCATCATCATTATTAACTTATCTTCACCATAGAGTTCCGGATAGTGCCACTGAACTTGTTTACCTAACGCATACAATGGTTGGTCACCTTTTTTAAATTTTCTTAGTTCTGGTAGTAGGTTTAAAATTTTTTCTTTTAGTCTTGTTTTATTTTCAAATTTTAAATTTATATCATAGCTTTTCATACGATTGCAAAACAATTGGTGCAGTCCTGAAAGTTGAAACATAGGAACAGCTGATTCATCTTCATAACATTGATAGATATACTCCATTATCTCTCCAAGGACTATCCCATAAACAACGTTGTTTTCACTTTTCATTACTGGTTGGTCTTTTTGTAACGAACGCAAGTGGTTGTATATCTGACTTAGACAAGCTTTATGATAATAAGGCGCAGCATCTACAAGATCACTTTCACTCATGTTTGCGAGTAACTTAGCATCTAATAGAAGTTCAGCACAGTTGCAAACTTTTTTATCTAGTTTGAGAGTTATCACTTGACTTTTTATTATCTACCTTCTCACACAGGAAACAATTTTCTTGATAGTTCTTAGCCTGAAATTTTGACCTTGTACCATGGCTTGGGATTGGTATTTCTTCTGTAACGTTTAGTGTCTTTTTTCGTTTAGATGCTCTCTAGTAGTATTAGTTATAGAAATTTGTATAACAATTTTTGCAATATACCGTACTGTTGTCGCAAAGCTGTTGCAGAAAATCTTCACATTGTAATCTGGAAGTAAAAAAAGCTGTCAAATTACCTATATAAAATAAATATCAAGTTTCAGCAAAAGATTACTTACTAGATTATTTGAGATAAATAATATAAAAAAGTAATTTTGAGTTACAAAATTAAACTCTGCTTCGATACTAGTAGAAAATGATTATACCTGATAAGAAAATATTATTCTCTATCTGATAAATTCAATTTATCGTCTGTCAAAAACAAATGACAAAAAAGGTGTATTAAAAACTAATATATTGCTATATAATCAAACCTATTCCTTTGAACTTTTCTAGATTACTAATTCTAGATTTTTGTACACTGTTTGGTTAAATTCCAGTCTCGCAGGAACAATAAATGGTTTTGAGATTCCATAAGGGGATATGGCAATTCACACAAAAATATTTTTTTTTCAAATTTGCTTTTGCGCTTATATTTTATATTTTTTGGTACATTTTTTGCTTCTTCTGAGTAAAATCCAGCATTAGAATTATTGTTCGTATGTTTAAATGTAAAATAAGACTCATCGTTAAAAACAAAGTCACGGTTTTTGAATTTGCAACAAATTCTTCCAAACTTCAGTTGCAACTGCTTTAACTGTTTATCAGTGCAATCAGGGATTTTTTTTTTCTTAAAATGACCAGTGTTTGTTTTGTTTTTTAATGTTTTTACAATATAGGAATGATCACACTTGAATTTATTTGCAATTTTTCTTGTTGAAGTTTCAGACTAGTTGTTCAAAAGACCTTTCAGGCGACTGATGTTCCTAGTAGTCATAATTTTTGGTTTTCTGCCTGATCCAGGCTTACAAGACTTTGGCTCATTGTTCTTCCACTTTGCCATATAGCGTTCAATGGTTCTTTCGGGGTGATTAGAGACAAAAAAATATTCTGCGTTGCTCTTCGTTTTAGCGTTAAGATGCAAACTACAATAGTTGTACACTTGTTCAATTAATGTAGTTGGTTTAATAACTTTTTTATTAGTTATTCTAAATAAAAAAAACTTTCAGTAAAAGAAAACTAGCATTTTATAAACAAAACATCTAAAAAATTAAGACTGAAAAATTCTTAGTTAAAATTCTTAATTAAAAGTTTTAGCTTATCCAAGGTTGTGCCAAATTTTTGTCTCCAGGGTTATATACACGTATATGTATGTATATACACGTATATATCTATACATTTTATTTCTTTCTTAACTAACTTTACTTTTAAATTTTTTGTACCTTTTTGTTTCTTAACTTCATGTAATATATATT